GCCGCGGACTCCTCGCTCGCCTCGGGAGAGAATTATTCCTGCAGGGGAGAAAGGAAGCGCTGAAACCCTCCAGGGGAAGGGCAGGAGGCAGGGCGCGTTTTCTTGCTTCTGGGTCCTCCTCCTGCCGTCCGGAGGATTCGCTTTCCGCGCGTCCGCTCTTTCGGATGCACGCGCTTTGCGCTCAGTGAAAAGGTTGGAATCCTGAACGCTGCCCGGACGAATGTCAGGTCTAAGCTTAACTTCTCAGGGGTGGCTTCCTCTGGCAGCATTTGAAGAAAAGGAGCCTATCGGAGTTGGGCAGATTTAAATAAGCATATTTGTAACCATATAATTATATATAAATATAATAGACATAAACATAATTATGTAAGCATAATTACATACATATGTAAATATGCATTATACATAAATTATTTATAAATGATTTATACATTGTTATAGAATAAATATTATGTATAAATACAAATAGCAATACAGTAGGTCTCTAGATATTTAAGATGGATTCTGGGTAAAAGAATTTTTTTTAAAAATCCTTTGTGATTTTGGTGTGGAATGTAAAGCTCAATCCAGTCTGGGGGTGCATATTGAATCATAACTCTCAAAGCTCCAACAAATTCTGGCCCTGCTTTGATGCCAAAACGTGGATTTGAAGGGCAGATCCTTGACGGTTTTTAAATGTGATAACGTTGAAACCACTGTCAAATCACAGATCACATCCACCTGCATGGAATGAGCCATGTTAATCATATAACACTTCATATCTTCATGGATTGACATGATTTTTACCATGTGATCCACCTGAAGCCACAGTTAAATCATAGGTTGCTTCCACCTGCACAGTATGAATCATAGTTACAGATCTGAAGGAGTTTTAGTGCCTCTGTTGTGGTGCTTAAAATCACCAGATCCATAATTGCTTTTGTTCATGTTAACGCAGGTTGATCTGTGATTTATTTGTTTAAAAATTACAAAAGAAACCAAATGCATAACATCTAGTTTTTAAATAATAACCTTGACCACATATTGTTCAGTATTTCCATTGTGTCATCATAAGAATACAAAAAATTGTCACATCTTTGATTACTTCAGGCAGATCCTAGATAAAATTCATGACAATCCATACCTTTGATCTGCATTTCTGTTATGATGGAACCAAAAAGATCAGGAGTATGTTTTTTGTGAAAGGATTGGTGATCTTAACTTTGATAGAGTTAACAAATTCTTGAGCTGAATGTGTGCTCATAGCCACTTTTTTCATTAATTCTTGCTGTATGACCTCCTACCTGAGTTAATATTTTTCACCAGTTCTGCTGATAGAATTCTAGTAATTAAAAAAAATACAGAGAACCCTGAAGGCAGATTTCTGCCCATCTCATGAAACAATGGTCTCTTGTATGGCATACAGAAGCTGGACAAGGCCAGATGAGCCTTGGACTCACATGCTTCCTTCCTGTCATATAGTAGAGGAAAAATGAAAGTTTTTGTGTCTTCCCCCTGTTTTGATATAATCAGGGCCTAGAGTTGTTTTAACCCAGATTTTGTTTTATTACAACCAGTCATTTATAGAAACCATGATTTGAAGTTGGCTTCTTTAAAACTATAGGTAATGGAAATCACAGATTGATATTCCAGGTGATATGACATTATGCAGCTAACCCAAAATGTCTACATAAAAAAGTAGAAGCACATGAGCTCAAAACTTGTATCACTTTATTTTAGGTATGTTGTACTAAATCATTATTTAAGATGGTGTATGAATGGAGTTATTGCTTTAAAGATAAATGTTTTAATGAGAATGTTCAGTTATATTAAACACATTGATTGTTTTTTATTTTGTTGTATATTTTAATGTGAAATAACAGCAATATCTCAATAAGCAGTGAAGTGCTTATCAAGTGAACTGAAATAACTGCTGACTTCTACATTCCATGGATCCTTTGGGCGCTCCTTCCCATTTTGTGGATATTAATACTTTGCCAGGATGGTCTGATCATCATGATGAAGACCAATCAAACAGCTCTCCATTACCAGTGGAAGGGGGGAAAGTTGATGTCCGATCACCCTTCCCATATAGAGAAGAGATTAATACAAAGATAATATTATGGTAAGTGTACATATCATTATCTTAAATAATCATTAAACAATATAAAGCATTTAGATTTTTGTCAGACTTCATCCCACAGGCAGGAATAAATCACATTTGCAAGCTCCCAAAAAATCTAAGGCCTTCAGATAAGTAATGTTTTAAAAAACAAAATTAAGAAGCATAGTTCCATCTGTTCTTTGTCACTGGAACCATTACATTTGCTGTTTTTTACTGACTGTGTAAGAACAAATCCTCACATTTTTATGTAAAGCTTATAAAAAAAATCTTTATAAATCTATAAACCTTATCCGAAGAGGATTCTTCCAGATATCCTGGGTTCCTCTTCTGTCATTCCTTACCACTGAACCAATTGGATAGGTTGGTAGGAGTTGTGATTCATAACTCTGGGAGGACAGTTTGGAGACACATGTTTTATGTATTTAAAACAGAATGAAGTAGACATTTGGGGTTTATTAATAGGCTGCTGATCAACCTAAATCAATTTGATGCTTGCTGTTTTCCAAGATTCCAAAAATAGTCCAGAATGGGACCAAATTTGGTATAATAGGAGAAGCTGGCAAAAGAAAAATAAAGTTTGAAAATGGGCTGGACCAGTTGGGGCTGTGGAGAAAAAAATTAGAGAAAAATATATGGGAGTCACATTTGGGCAGCTGCTTGGAAGGCTGTTGACTTCCCCCTTCTCTCCTCCCTCCTGATCATATGATCCTGGGTGAAAAAACTACAGGTAGTCCTCACTTACCAATGGTAATTGGTACCAGGAACTCCATTGCTAAGTGATGCGGTCGTAAGGCGTGATGTCACATGACTGTGCCAATTTATGACAGCAGTTCCGGCAGTCCCAGTTGCTGTCGTTAGGCGAGTCCCACATGGTCACTGCATCCCATAGTCACGTGATCACCATTTGCAACCTTCTGCTGGCTTCCCCATTGATCTTGCTTGTCAGAAGCTGTCAGTGAAGGTCACAAATGGTGGTCATGTGACCATAGGACTGCGACATAATTGCAAGCCAGTTGCCGAGTACTTGAATTGCAATCACGCAACTGTAGGGACCCTGTGACAGCCGCAACTACAAGGACCTGTTGTAAGTATCCCTTGTTCAGTCCCATTGTAACTTCAAGTGGTCACTGAATGAGTGCACATTAAAGAGGACTGCCTGTATTAAGAAGTTGGAAAGAATGCCAGAAACCATGCTTTGCATGCTTTTCCTCCCTTATTTATTTCTGGATAGTGAGAAGTCTTCAAAACAAATCACCAGCCCACCACCATTTCAGTTTTTAAAAAATGACATATGATAGTGAGAGGAATGATAAACATGATAGCTCTGTTAAATCCTGGAAAGCCTTTTATTATTTTTTTCCAACTTAAGGGAACATTGGAAAGAAATAAGGTAAGGTGCTTAGGACTGATTGACCATTGGCCAGCAGGATACCTCTTCAAAAACTGAACAAAACAGGACCAAATTTGGTGTGATGGGAGAAGCCAGAAAAATAAAGATGAGGTTTGAAAGTGAGCTAGATCATGCCAGAGGCTGTGGAGAAAAATATTACCCCCAAAAAAACCTCCCACTGCATCTCTATGAGAAGCACGCTTGCATCTTGGTTCTGAATGGTATTGACTGCTCTGCTGTAAGTCTCCCTTCCTCCAGGTCATATGACCTAGAGCAGGGCATATGGAGCCCACCCGGTGCTGCTCAGAGCACATGTACAAATGCAGATGCAAGATATGGGAAAAGCAGAGGTGCGCACACACATACAGGTGCAAAAAGTGACTTTGTTACCCAGAAGAAAACACAGAGCTTCCTATAGCCCTTACAGGTAAAGGTGTTGGAAAGAATTGCAGGAGTCGTGCTCCGCATACCTTCCTATTTATAAACTTGTGCATATTGATTGGTTTCTTTTAATCCAGTTTTCATTTTGGAAGAGTACTCTCTCTCGAGTTCATCCACAGTAATACGTTTTAAGTCAGTGAAAGTACATTTTTAGGGTACGATGCCTGTTTTTCTATTCATAACAGTTGTACTGTGTTCTATAAAAAGATTGGAAGGAGAAAGAAATTAAAACTGACTGGTGATATCTTCTGAGAATACTCAGATGTTTAAATGTGCAGATCTTGGCTGTGTTCCATCCTATCTACCTGGTTCATCAATACTGCTATGGGAAACATGTAACTAGATGACGAACTTCCTTTTCATATGCAAATAGATTTGGTGGTTATTTCTTCTGCATCGTTAATGAATTGTAATCTTTCCAAAGGAGAGGCGACGTAGCATTGCTGAACTGCACAGCCATAGTAAACACCAGCAATGAGTCCCTCACAGATAAGAATCCAGTGTCCGAAAGTATCTTCATGCACGCAGGACCTGACCTAAGGGTTGAACTACAGAAACTTAAAGGTCAGAATAACATGGTCAATTCCTAAATATTTGACGGGATCAAAAATGGCAATGTTGTTTAAAGAAAAATGCCAGTACAGCCAAAGGTTTAGGCCCTCCAGGCCACAGAGCTTCGCTTCAGTGATTCTGTTTTGCCCTTGTTGGATACTTCAGCAGAAGTGACTGCAGAGGTCAAGGATGCCAGAAGCCCCAAATTGTCACAAATTACATAGCCACAATTGAATTTTTAAAAACAACTGTTTGGTCAGCTTTATAAAATAAAGTCATAATCATCTAGGTGATATGTGAAAGAGATGAGGATGAAATTACTAAGTAATTGGAAGAGGTGTTTAGCTTCCTTTATTTTCTAGAACAGAAACTTGGTTGCAGGGAAATGTTTCAAATTTTAAAGAAGAGAATGGGCGCTGAAGCAAGAAGTGAAATTTGCAACTGGAAAAG